TCAGCCAAACTTCCTGAGAAAATGCCCAAGCTCTCCTGCTACGGCAGGTAGGGTGGCCTGAATGTCAGGGGACACTGTCAGCCCTGTCGGTGGTGGGACAAGAACCTGGGGTACCTGCCTGACTGTGAAGTGTAGTCCAGGAGAGGGCCGCTTCTGTGGTCTCCATGGCCTCAGCTGTCCCAGCCATTGCCCAGGCTGTGCTGGTGACTGGGGTTTTAGGGAGCAGAGGCCTGCTTTAACTGCAGGTGGCCCACAGGTTGCACCCTGAAACGTGGATACCTGAAATGTGAGCTGCTAATATACTTGAGCAATAAATGGCCCTTGAAGCCAGCACGAGGTACTACAGGGGTCCACAGCCTTTATGAGGTGGGATTGACGCTGGGTGGAATTGCACCATATATATATATATATTTGAAGCAAGAATTGAAACACATTTCTAACCAATGTAGCAACAGTGGCCTGTTCTAAAACTACATGTCTGGTTTAGTTGTTGGTTGTCTTAGGAAAGTGATATGAATAAGACATATGGAGATATGTAAGTGATGTGTCGATTCATGTGCTGGGGGCCTCTGGGCAGTGGCAGGAGCCACAGGTGTGTGGTGTTGAACCGGCTCACCTTGATGGTACAGGTCAAGCAGGTCAGGCTGTCCTACCCTCCCAGCTCTTCTCTGGGACAGTTCCTGCCAGTCTGGTTCTGAGTGCATCTCTTCTCTCACTGTCTGGGCTTACTCTGGGTGTCCTGATGTGTATTTTTAATTCTCCCTTTCTCTCCTTTGCCACTGTTTGCAACTCTGTTCTCTCCTGATCTATCTCCCAATCCTATTTAGTCTCCCTTAACTGGGAGGAGAGATAACTAATAGACATCTCTATCTTTAGTTACTGAGCATTTTTTTTTTTTGTGTATATCCTGCCTCATATAAAAGTAATGATGGTTGAATACAAATATATAGTGATTTTAAAATATTAATACCCTAGATTGATTTTTGACACTGCATTCCCAAACTCAGAAGTAGGGCCAGCATAGAACAGAAGCATCACCCTAGGGCTCCTGGGATAGCATGACAAAGGATCTGTGGCTGTGGCATGGTGAGGCAAAAGCATGATGGCAGAAGCATGCAGGGCATGGCTGCAACCTGGGCAGGTGGAATGGAGCCCCCAGTTAGTAGCCACCGTAATGTAACACTAGGCCTTTCTACCAGGGAACTCTGCACTCTCCAGTCTTTGCCACTCCCGCCCCCAAGTGGACTATCCCCAGAACCTGAGCTCATCAGGTTCATGACCCCTCCACACCTTGGCTTGGGCACATCCCTCTGTTTGGCATGCCTTGGGTGTGTTCCATTCTGTTCACCCAATCAACACCTACCCATCTGCTGAGTCCTTTCTCATCATCCATGGAACCAGCTAGAACAGACTCCTCCTTCATGCCCACTGTGATCAGAGGTATGGTCTCAGTCTCCTGGCTCCCCTAGTGCCCAGCACAGAGCCTGGCACACAATAGTATCCAATCGACACATGTTGGAGGAATCATGAGAGCAAAGTCTTTGTCTCCTGCTTTACCAGAAGGACAACAAAGTGAGCTAATACGGTTCTCCCCCGACCCCACCCTCCCATCCCTGAATCTACTCCCTTGCCTTGAGACCTGGCCCAGATGCCCAGAGTACCTCTACCCTGCCCCCCTCCTTAGCGCCCTCTGACAGGAAGCTTTCCGTTATTTCCCACCCCCACAGGAAAACCTGCTCTCCACTCGAGCTTCCAAGTCCCCTGACTCACTGGGTCCTCGTCTGAGTCACTCTTGCTGCTACTTTTTTCATCCCCATGTCAGGTACATGCACGACACAGTGAGCCAACCCCTGGGTGCAACTTAGACGAGCAAGTGAAGGCGTCTCTGTCCCCCTGCAAGGAGAAAAGGCCAGGACGACCCCGCTGCTGGCCACAGGAAGGGGAGCATTAGAGGGCAGCTTCTCACCCCGTGAGGCGGTGAGTGGCGCAGGCGGGCGCAGGCGGTCACCGTTCCAGGGACATGGCATGAAAACATTACACTACCTTGTTAGCCAGGGCATCTCCAGGTCCATCTTCTCCTTTCCCAACATTTAGCTCTGACTGCTTGCAATTAGTACCTGAGAGGCAATCTAAAAGAGGCAAGCTGCATTATGGGGACCCCGGGAAAACTGCAGGGCACAGCTCATCTTGCACAAAGAGGCCCAGATGCCAAAGGCTGTCTCCTTTACCTACTCAGCTGGGCCTCACCAAGGAAATGCGATCAAGAAAGTGGTGTTCGTCTTTAGCATTTATTTATAACTGGAAAAATCCTGTTTGCTTTCTGAGCAAGCACAGACCACAAGACGTCACAATCAATTGGCTATACATGAATTTTTTTTTTTGTCATTCTTTTACTAACAGCGGGAATGAAATAGCACCGAGAGAGGTGTGCACTACATGATACATAGACAATCTGTGGTATGCAACAAAACCTGGGCCACAAAATCATAGACACTTCCTCTCGGCCTCAGAGTGTCACAGCTTCATGTGCTGTCTAGGAGCTGGGGCAGAGAAAAGAAAGCTGGGCACAAAAGAGTTTTGCAGGCAGGCCAAGAAAAAAAAAGTCTCCATTCCAGCCCTCTTGCCCAAGGTGAACAGGGAACAGTAGGGAAATGTACGGAATGAGGGGCTGGCATGGTCACCTGCAGAAAGACAACACCAAACACTTTGAGGAACCACAGTCAGTTTCGTCCAGTACGTTTGGGAGACAGAACAAGACCGGCCGAGTTTTGTTTGTAAACTGTAGAAATCGAAAGAAGTTTCTTGTCAGTGGAGTGAAACATTCAAGAGTCAAAGTGAACTGCAAACAGTTTTCGTAGGTGAGTGTGTGAGAAAGAGCGGGCATTGACAGCTTGAAAGGGACATTATCCAGGTCATCTAAAGCCTCAGGCAGGGCAGGGTAAGAAATTCAGCCCCTAAGGCTATGGGGTCCACGGCGAACTACAGTGTGCACAACACCAACTCAACTCAGTCACAGCACAGGTAGGGTAGTCATGCACCTGGGTGTGTTACTATAGAGACCTGTCTGCCCACCAAGCCTGGCACAGTGCCCAGCACAAGGTAGACCATGAACAGTGAATGGAGGATCCCCTGTGCATTGTAAACTCTGACTTACTTGATCTACAAAACACACAGCTATTCTACAGGGAAATCAAAGTGTGGCTAACAGCAGCTCTGGCTGATGCCAGGGCTTGAGAGGAGCATGCGTTGGCAGCTACAGTTGGAGCACTTGATAGAGTTCTCAGTAAACAGTAAGGTTGGCTAACAGGTAGCCAGAAACAGTACAGAGCTCTAGGCATTCCTGGACAGGCATGTGACACCTGTGAGTCGTGGCCATGAGACCCATCAATGTCTCCTCCCTTCTATAGCATGCCTCCCTCACAGTCCATGCCCTGAGACGGGAAAGACAGCATCAGGGGATGCCAAAGACTTCATCTCTAGTCTGTTCTGTTAAAAAACGAGGGCTTGCACAGCACTGCTGAGTTAATTCACAAACCTGTCTCAACTAGCTCCAAAAGTTAATTCACAAACTTGTCTCAACTAGCCCCAAACAGTGCAAACAAAACCTTCACTGTCTGCACAGTAAAACTGAGCCGGAGCTCGGGAGCTCCACCTTCCCAAACTGCAAGGACCTGAAGGGACTTCTGAGGGAAAAAGCCAGGAGAGCTTCCCCTGAACCACTTTTTCTCACAAGAGAAAGCAAACTGCACCATCTCAGCTACTCAGAACACTGAGCAAATAAGGACTTCCAGGACAGGAGCAACCTATACGCCACCAGAACATTGCTGGTGGACATTTTGGGTTCCCTCATAAGTAAGGAGGGTGGGCTCCTTTCATAACCACTCCCTAATTCCTACAACACAACTCTAGGAGGCTTCTGCCACACACAGGCAGCACTGTAATACACCAAGAGCTGATTCCAAGCATCAAAACGTCATAGATGCTTGCTAAGCCCTTAGCAGGGCTCACCACACACTCTGGCCAGATGCTCAGCACGCTGGCCTCTCTGTGAAGCAGAGCAAGAGCTCGGGGCTGGAGGGTGCATCGCCGTACCTGCTGCCATGTCTGCACACCCCAGCTGCACATCTTAGGAACAGAAAGTCACAGTAAGTATGCTATGTGCCATCTGTACACCTAACTAGTCTCGGTTAGGCAGGTGTTCTGCAACATCAGCAGTATGCTGAGGGCAAACAGAGAAAAGTGGGCTCCCATTGCTGGGAGCTCCCTCTACAGCATCTACAGCTTCCCAAATACGCACTCTCTGCCACTTCTGGCTGGCCCCAGCCAGTGGCCTATTACTTGACACACTATTCAAAGCCGACTGATAGGCACGAAACACAGGCACACACTCCTAACAGAGGGTTCCAGGAGAGGGTTACTTCTAGTTAACAGACATAATTCCATTTCACTGACAGTAAGGCCAAGGTTGGTTTGTTGCTGTTTTGCCTTTAACATTTTCACCAATTCTAACCGTTGGAGCCGAAGCTGAACTTGGGTAGCACACAAGCGTCCACTGACTTTGGGAAAGAACATTTGCCTAGAGTCCAAAATCGAGTGCTGCAAACTGTGGGAGGCACGGGGGGGGGGGGGGGGGGGGGGGGGGGGGGGGGCGGGGGGGGGGGGGGAGGAGGCCTTGCAGCAGACACTTCCGGCTCCACCAGGAGCTGCACTTGGCAGTAGTTGAGACCTGTCCCAGCCGGGACCCACAGGGAGCGCACAGCCAGTGCACAAGGCTTCCCGGTGTCCCGGGGGCCCTGGCTGGATGCTGTGCCGCCTGTAGGAAGAGGCAGTGGCCTCAGTCTGTGAAACATGATTCCTCTCAGAAAAAACCAACCACAGGGCTCCTGGGACACTCAGAACCAAGGCAGACGGGAAGTCTCTAATTCATTTTGTGGCCTTTTGTTTGTTAGTTTAAATAAAGGGGCTGGGGGTGGGGGGGTGAGGAGGAAAGTGACATTTACTCTTTGGCCTCGGCCAGTTTATTGTTCATCTCTTTGCTTGGCTCCTTGTCGTCGGGTTGGGTGGCACTGGGGCCCTCTGCGGTCTTTTTCTTGGCAGCCTGGCCCGACACCACCTGCTTGTCTTTGGCCTTCCTCGGAGGCTTATGGCTCGCTGAGGTCTTTTTTGGTTTGGAACTCTGAATACTAGGTTTCTCTACCTGCATGGGGAGACAGACAGACAGAGCACAAGTACAGAAACACAAAAGGGAGGGAGTAGGGGAGGAGATTTAGAGAAAGACATTACTAACAAAAGAATAACGGGAGCGAGTGACTGGTGACGGAGCAGACAGGCAGAGCGAGGACAGAATCTCAGCGGTGTCTGGGCATCTGGCTTCTGTTGTCTGAACCCACAGGCAGCCTGGAGCCACACCCTCACCTGTCATTTCTCCCCTGGAGCAGACCAGGTGGTGGGCTAGAGAATGGTTACAGAATCAATCCATTGTCCCTCCTTGTGGGAAGGTCGTGCCTTGCTCGCCTCAGGTTCAGGCATGTGGTTGGCTGCAGTCAGTGAGTGCAAGATACCCTGCACATCTCGAGGAGGAGATGCTCAGCCTTCTGGGTCCTAGACTGAAGAGGGCAGGTAGGTATTCATGAGGATGAACCATGGCTGATCCCTGGGGTGGTGAGTGCGTGGTTTCGGAACAACTCAAGTGTCAGGCAGGTGATAGGCACTACCAGCCGTATGCCGATCTCTGGCTGGATCTAGCCTGCTTCCCCAGAGCAGTCCAGTTTCCAGGCCTCTCCTCTAGATCTTTCCTCTCATTCTGAAGATAGAGTCTTGCCTTCCCTTTCTCAGAGAACTCTGGAGTAACTAGGCTTGCTGACCATCCCTAATTTCCCCAATCTTTCCTCCTTCCTCACTTGGAATCTTCTCTCTTTCATTGCCAACCTATATCCTGGAGCCTATTTCATTTGTGGACGGACAGAGCTGGTGTTGGGCCTCCCCGGCTGGGCCATTCACTAACAGGTCCGCTGACCTCATCCTGATTTGCCTGGATTGGGGTGGGGGGGTGTTTTGCAGGACCATGAAATGTTCAGTGCTAAAACTAGATGCATCCCAGACAGACGGGGTCAACCTGTCACCTTGGCTCCAAGCTGGTCCTGGAATAATGGAAATGTCAACTGAGTCTAGACTTGAGGACAAAGGTGGAGAACGACCAGTTATGTTCTGGAGTTACTTTGGTCCCCAGGCACGTTCTGCTATTACACATGGGAAAGGTGGTTATGTGCCCAGCCCAGTCTGGCCTGACACAAAGGGAGTGTGCTTGTGAGTACACTTTGCTAGCTCTGTCCAACACATTTCTCCTGTTAACAAACTCATACTGAGATGCAGTTAGGTAGAGTAGTGTTATCATAAAAAAAAAAAAAATCCCCAATCCTCATTCAGAAACTGCTGCTTCAGTAGTAAATAACCAGGGACACTTCTCGCACTCAGTGTGACGGGAGTGTGTGACACACTGGGCACTCTGTTGGGAAGAATGAGTGAAGGGGGACCTTTCCAGGGACTGGGGCAGCTGGGACTGGGAGGAGGAGCTGCGGAGCCAATGCCAGCTGCAAACCAGGCCAGGGAAGGGGCTGCAACGCTGGGTCAGTTGCTCAGAGGCCAGAGCACAGCTCCTTCAGAACAAGGGGCTTTAGCTCCCAAGTGAGATTTCTCTGTCGTTTTTATTCTGCATTTCTCAAATATAGAATCTGGTGTGCCAAATGCTAAGCTAACTTTCCATAATGCTCCTTTCTAGTGTGCCCTTGGAACTTAACAGAGGTACCTGTTGAAGATAGCCCTGGTCCTGTGTGCTGAGGAAGGTATGATTCATCGGGAGCCCCGGGGCCTAGCCGGAGCCCCACATTCTGCTTCCTCCAGGCTGTGCAGTAAGAGCTGTCTCACCTTCGGGGATTCCTTGAAGGGCTCGCTGTAGAGGCTTCGTATTCTTCTGCGCTCCATGGCCTTGTTGTCGGCTGCAGTGGGCTTATTAGCCTCTCCTTTGAACTGGGCGCTGTAGCTGGTCTCATGAACCATCTTGTCATCCGGGGGCTTGTACTGGGGCTTGGCTTTGATCGGTTTCACAGGCTTGATGTCTGTCCATGCTCTGAATTCATTCCTGGGAGTCAAAGAACGCATCAGTGATGAGAAACACCACACAGCAGAGAAATGTTCCCCACCCCAGCGACACACGAAGCTGGCTCCTGAGCCACACTGTGGCACTAACTGAAGCATAGCTGGCTGGGCGTCGGCATCACCGTCACCATAAAGGCCAGCGGTTTTCCTTCTCTCAGAATTCACCCAGGTGTGGAAATGGCAATAGAGATCTCCGAGAAAGAGCTCAGGGTCCTCCTCAGGCCGAGACTCTGGCCATCCAGGACAGTCATTCTCAACCTTCAGGTTCTGTGTGCCCAGTCTCTAAAGCAGGCTGAGACACCCGGCCCAGACAGTGCTTTGGGAGCTCAATGAACATGGGATGCCTGTATAAGCAAAGCTAAGGAGCTTCGGACTTGGTTGAGACAGGCACCCTGCAGCCTTGCAACAAATACCAAGTCCCCCTTGCCGCTTTTTGTGTGGTGGTGGAGATGAACTCAGGGCCCTGAGCACCAGAGGCGGGGGGTTGTGCTGCTCACCTCCAGCCTCCAGCCTCCTTCCCCCACTTCTCCCAGTGAGGAGCCCTTGACGTCCAGAGTCCTCAGGGTGATCCCTCCCACGCTTGCTTCTTCTGGTGCCAGACCACTCTGGAGGGAAGTCCCTGTCAAGTGTCTTAGTGCACAGCATGTCCCCCACATCATTCGGACAACATAGTCAGGACTTACATCGGCTGTGTGTGGGTAGGATGGCCATCGTATGGGTGTAAATGGCTACTATTCTGTCCCTTATGTGACGCATCTGTCACCCCCCATCAGTGTCTACTCTCAGCAATCTCTGTGGTTTCCACTCTTCTGTTGTTGTGTCTGTGGTTCTGGGTATTGAACCCAAGGCCTCTCACGTGTTCGGCAGGTGCTCTCTCTCTCTCTCTCTCTCTCTCTCTCTCTCTCTCTCTCTCCCTCTCTCCTATATTTCCAGCTCTCTTCTTACTTTTTTTTTTTTTTTTTTTTTTTTTTTTTTTGGTTTTTCGAGACAGGGTTTCTCTGTATAGCTTTGCGCCTGTCCTGGAACTCACTTGGTAGCCCAGGCTGGCCTCGAACTCACAGAGATCCGCCGGCCTCTGCCTCCCGAGTGCTGGGATTAAAGGCGTGCGCCACCACCGCCCGGCCTCTTCTTACTTTTTAATCTCATTATGTTGGCCAAGATTTGAATTTACTGTTGCTCAAGCTGGCTGTGAACGTGTTTCCCACCCCTGCCTCCTCAGTGGCTGGATGACAGGCCCACGCCATTAGGCCTGGCCACTTGGCTGTTGCTGATCTGTCATAAGGAGGGAAAGTAGGTGGCCCATGAAGTTGAAAACTGTAGGTGCTGAAGGCCCAAACAATCCCCCACTTTGAGGGCAGGAGCATCTGCGCAGCAGCTCTGGGGTTCAAGAGATCTTAGTCAGTCTGTTGTCCCTTGGGGGTCATGGACAGCTGTGCTTGGAAGAAGGGTTTAGTGGGGGCATCTGCGGGGACATGTTGGTCCAAGACCTCTTCTCACCCTCTGTGGTTCCTTTCCTTAAGGCTCAGAGATGAGAGCCACAGACATGGAGGCCATGGGGACATGCACAGTGCTGTATGGCGCAGCCCAGTGAGGCTCTATTAGCCTTTACCTGCTAAGCAGCCCTTCTGCTTTGAGCCTTTGCTTCCTGTTTGTAAGATAGAGGCATCAGGCTAGACAAGGTCCTGACAAGCTCCAAAACGTTCCTGTTCAGTAATGGGAGCCCCTTGCCCATCTTTTCATCTGCTCTCTGAATTTCTCTGGACGATTGGCTCCTGTGTGGAGAGACCACTGTCTCTGGGAGGCCCTCATCAGAGCTTCAGGCCCACCTTTCTGGTGCAGCCTGGGCCTTCACCCGGACCTCCCATTGACTCCTTCAACATCGCTGTGGACAGCTGCTAGATACATTCAGAGCAGCTACTGAGGTGCAACTCCCGGGGTCGATCTGGTTTTCAAAGACATCCACAGACACTGCCTTCCCCTCCTGTCTAGACTTATGCCCCCTTTCCCTGGACCAATGCTTCAGATCACAGCATTGGAGTCCTGATGCCCCCTCTCACTGCTGACTGGCTTGGCACATGCCATGGGTAAGTCTTCCTCAGTTTTGTGGTCTGCATGCTGTTCCCTCCCAAAGGTTCCTATGAGATGAGGTCCTGAGGTCCACGCTCTGCTCCTATAGTGCCCACATGCTCCGATTCCTCAGGGTGTCATTTGGTACCAAGTTACCTGTCCAGTGTCTTTATTTCCCTCTGCCAGTGTTTTGTGTGCCGGCTGGTGTGCAGAGCTCTTCAGATGCATTATTGTACGTCATCCTCACCTCAGCTCTTGGCAGAAATGCTGGCCTGTTTTGCTAGTGAGAACACTGGGCCACCATACCCTTCCCCCAAAGCATGCTGCCATCCCTTTCAAACTGCCGTGTCCAACTACATCAGTCCACAATTCTAACTACCCAACACCAGCAACCTCTCTCCAGCACTTTCCCCAGCCACAGGCAGAACTAGGTTATGGTGGTATTTTACTTGTACTGAAATGTGATTTTAATTGTATGTTAATAAATAAAGTTGCCTAGGGGTCAGAGCTATTAGAGCCATAGCAAGAGCATGGCGGTAGTGGTGCACGCCTTTAATCCCAGCACTTGGTAGACAGAACTAGGTAGATCTCTGTGTATTCAAGGATACAGCCAGCGTTGGAGACACACGCCTTTAATCTCAATCCCAACCATAGAAGACCTGGAAGTCTCTACAGACATGCAGTGACGAGGCAGTCATGTGTTTGGGTTTACAACCAATGAGAAGGCAGAACAGAAAGACTATATAAAGACAAACACACAGGAAGTAGCTCTCTTTTGGAGAGGTCTCTTGGCTTAAGAGGCTAGCTGCAGGGTAAGGCTTTTAGCTCTGATCTCTTGGCTTTCTTCTTTGCATTGGTTCTGTGTTTCTTACTTAATAAGACGGTTGGTTACATCGACACTAGGTGGTCTCGTCTGGCCCACCTCTCTCCAAATCAGTTGCCATGTGCTCTCTCCCGAAGCCGTCCTCCCCTCCCACACCTGCGAGTCTAGGGTAAGGGCAGTGCTGGACTGACAACCGTTAAGCCAGTTCCGGTGTGACTGTATTTCATTGTTATAAATGTCAAGGATGGTCTTGGTCCTGTTCCTTCACGTTTCTTCCTCTCTCTCAGTGTGGTCCTCATCTGCTAGGACGGAGATGCAGCCTCCTCCTCCTTGGAAACTGCTCAACAGGAAGACTCTGGTCCTCCGCCTCAGGGGGCGGACATGAAGTTACTGCATAAGCATCACAGGGCATCTGTGTCTCGTTCCACAACATGTTCCCAAATCCTTGCGCACTCTAGCTTAGATGGAAGCCAATGGCCCTCCTCTTTACTGTGGCTGGGGAGGAAATGGAATATGGCCAAAGTGAGGTAACTTCTAAGAGTGGGTCAATAAAGGAGAGGCAGGCTCCTCTTTGCTCTCTTTGGGAACAGAAGCTGTTGTGTGAGTCAAAGAGCCCTGCAGGCCTATCAACACTCTGTCACAGAGGGAGCATGGATCGTAAGGATTTATAAGCAGTGATAAATCCCTGAGCACTTATAGGGAGTTAAAGGTTGCTACTGGGAAGAGGCCCCACCCTTCCGTGAGGATCCAGTTGTGAAGCAGAAGGGGACCATCGTGAGAGGGAGGGACGAGAGGAGAAGTGAATATGGCCAAAATGCATTATACCCATGTGTGAGGACAGCAAGGGCCTGGGGTCCCTTGGCTGAAGTCAGGGGTTTGAGCAAGCTAGAAGTGGATCCCAGGTCCATGCCAGCCTTCACATGGCCCTAAAACTAGGAGCATCTGGCTAGTTCTTTCTAGTCTCTGATCCTTAAGCTGCAAGGCTCTGGAGTAATCTGTTGCACAGCAACAGATTCTAATACCGACCCCAATCCACGGCTAAGCTTCTGTGCTGCTCCTCAACAGAGAAAGCGATGGGAGCTGAGCACAGAAACTGGAGTCCCCAGCAGAGCCACGGCAAGTTTCTCTGGTTACACACTGGTCTTAGGAAACAGAAGCAGGCTGAGGAGATAACTCAGTCTGTAGACGGTGTTTTGCAAGCACCAGGACCTGAGTTCGAGCCCCAGAATCCATGTTAAACAGGCTAGCTATGGTGCTATGTGCTTGTCACCCTGTGCTGGGGAGGCACAGAAGGGTGGATCGTGAGGCTCGGTGACCAGCTAGCCTAGTCTACGTGGTGAGTTCCAGGCTAGTGGAAGATGGCATCTAAGGAACAACACCTGAGGTGATGTCCTGTGGCCTCCAAAGGCACAAGCACACGCATGCATATGTACACTCATACATGCACACATGAAAAAAATAAAAATGAAAACAAGGCAGCAAAGCTTCTGCCCAGCCAAGTGGATAAAGATACACCATGTAGGTCCAATTCATAGGAGAAGCAAAGCCACCCAGACCGTCACAGGAAAGCTCAACACTTTCAAGCCAAGCTAAACGCACAGACACTACTACTGAGCCTGAGCCAGAACATCGAGGTGGGTCTTTAGAAAGAAATCCATAGGCTTGGTGTAGTGGCACACATCTTTAATCAGCACTCTGGAGGCAGAGGTGGGCAGATCCCTCTGAGTTCAAGGCTAACTTGGTCTATATAGTGAGTTCAAGGACAGCCAAGGCTACCTAGTGAGAACCTATCTCAGGAAGAAAGAAGGAGGAAGAAAAGGAGGAGAAGTAGTCTTCTCAGCCTCTGGCCATTTGTGAAGACTGGCTCGTTGAAGGCCCCATGTGAGGGCTAAAAGGCAGAATATGGGTTCCTGTCAGAATCACAAAGCCTATGATAGATAATTAGATAATAAATATATTTGGTTTTCATTAGAGTCATTTATTTAAGAAAAATTATTTCAGATGTCTTGTATTCCAGGCACGGATGCAGCTTCTGTCTCCCTAGGGTTTATTGGCAGATGGGGAGGTGTAAATGGTTACAATCAGATACGTAT